GCGCACGTAACAGTTTCCCAGATCCCACGAAGTGTTTATTCATTTTTGAATGTTTATTTTCACAAACAGATTTTTGAAACATTAACTTTGTTGGTCAGGTATTTGAATGAAAAATTATTCAAAGATGGAATTATTAATGAGGATGGATCATTAACAATACTGAACGCTAGTGAATCACATCGTGGTCATTTCAAATGTGTTGCTGAAAATGAAGTCGGTAGTGATGAACGAATCATTATACTAACCGTTCATACTGCACCGACAATCGAAGGATCCGGGCAGGTCAGTAGCATTTGAAGTTGATCTCTTTGAAGCGCTCATAAAGACATCCTAAAACTCACACACTGATGTTCGAACAAAACTGAGTCGGAGAATGGATGTCTCATCATCAAACAGTTCCATACGATTTTATCACATCACGGATCGCATCATTTCCCTCTCTGCATCGCCAACTCATGCTAAAATATCATTATGTTCTTATTGCATTCCCCACCAAGTTCTATAAAAGTATATTTTATCGTCGTGTAATTCAGTGTCTCATTGCTCGTTGATCTCATTGGATGATTGATATTTCATNGATCGTTTGTTTCCAGGGTATGCACATGGATCGGTGAGTGTTTTTAGGTTTTATCAACAAACGCAATCACGTCTGCTTCTTCTTCTTCAAATACAGTTACATCTTCACTGAGTCACTTTCCAGCGCTCCATTCATAGTTTCATATAGCACTTTGATGAAAAATGAACGTAAAGGATGAATGATGTTTGGATTTGTGAAAACAACTGCGCTAGTGGAAAGCGATAATCATAATAGCGAGTTTCAGGAAATTCGATTTCCAAGTGATGGCTCAATCCAAATAGTAACACCACAAATGAATCATGCGGGTAAATACACTTGTCATGTATCAAACTTGGCAGGTGACGATCATATCACTTATTTGCTCAAGATTCAAGAACCGCCTTTGATCATATCAGATATTCCTGATGCTATCGATGTGATTCACGGTATGATGTTGGAAATACCATGTCGTGCTGTTGGTACACCAGATCCGACGGTCACCTGGGAGAAGGACGGTTTTCCGGTACGCTTTCTGCTGTTTCCCCTAATTCATAAGTGTATATTGTTGCGCGAACTAAATATAGTATCGTTTCAACAACGTTCCGATTCATGAATCATCCGCACAGCCAGGACAACAAATAATTCATTTAGATGACACTTCGAAAGAATCTACAGGTTTTTCAAATGATTTGTCAATAGTTCGAGGTCTTAGTTTATTTCATGGCAACTTTAGATCATCTCGGATGAAGTGATGGGAATTGACGCCTCTGGAACACTTCATATTGACGTCGCTCAATCGTTCCATCAGGGTGAATATCAATGTGTGGCTTCGAATCCGGCCGGAAAAGACCAACGCAGAACGGTTATTAGCGTACAAGGTATTGAATCTTGGGCACATTAACCAAAATGCCTTTTTTTTGAAATCGAACTAGAAATTCATGACACTGAGTAGTGCCCGTCTGGAAGCAATTTTTTGGCCAGTGGGGAGGGAACCATGTCGGCGGGCAAAGTGGCCGGGAGAGAACCCCGATAAAAAGGCATTGAGCAAAATTGTCAAATAATTATTCTTTGCCGGAAACCCCGTTTCCCGACGAACACTAACGCTGATTGTTCTAGATCATGAGGTTTCTACTCGAATATGGTGTCTACAGAAGTAACTTTCGCACATCCAATCATAGCATCAGTCATATGCCAAACTCATCTAGAGATAAACTCAAAATAAAATATCATCTCTTCAGAGCCACCAGTGATATCACCAACGACATTGTCAGACTACACGACGGTTGAAGGTGATCGAATCGAAATGAGGTGTTTGGCTAACGCGAATCCACCTCCGGTCATCACATGGTCTAGGAAAGGTATTCCTGTCTCGGAGGATATGGTTGGAATTCATGTCACTGAGGGTGTGTTCATTTCTTTAACATCAATTCGAATCTCGCCTTCATCCGAAAATAGACGAATGTGCATTTTGCATTCATTCAACCGATTCATTGACTGCTCATTCGCAGACAGACAGACTCAGAACAGAAGATTCTTTGTGGATCTTCTCTGCATCAACATGCTGGTGAATTGAATTACGAGCCAAAAATAATTTCAGATGGAACCCTAGTCATAGAGAATGTTGTGAATGATGACGCAGGGCACTACACTTGTAAGGCGTCGAACGCAGCCGGTGATGCTGATAAGGTGATACGCCTTAGCGTCATTAGTAAGTTTCTGACCCTTCTGATTGTAGCCAATATACACCTGCCTATATATCCACTTACAATGATTCATTTGGACAAGAAACCAACCAAAACATTTCCACTTCATACTTGTCGCTGAGGATTATTCAAAAGACACAGCATCAAGTAACCTTCTAACTTATGCATTCTTTTCAGTCCCACCAGATATACCAGATCAAGATACTATTGCGAGTGAAGCTGTCGTTGTTGGACAGCCTTTCAGTCTTTACTGTCCGGTATTTTCAACTCCACTGCCTCAGGTGAATCTTTTTTATTGATTTTGAATTTAGATTGTTCATTTTATCGCAACAAAAATCTTACCATTAGCACAATGTTCAATCATAGTGAGCTATAAAAGTTTCACAGCTTTGTGACTATGTATGGCATATGCGATACTTTTACTTATGCTAGCGACTGCGCAGTCCGAGAGCTAGCCAAATGATTTACTGTTCGAACTCGGAATTTTTTTCCATGGACTCAATTTCACTACAATTTAACATACTGAAGATATCGTGGCATTTGGACGATCATCCGGTGGCTGACGGTGATCCAAATATCCAATTATCTGACGATAAACGACATCTACATGTGCTCAGGTCGAGACCCACTGATACAGGCAACTACAAGTGTGTTGCAAGGAATCCTGCCGGTGAATCATCAAAATCATTTCAAGTGGAAATTCTTGGTAATTTTTTTTAATCATTCGATGTTCTTATCAATTTGACTATTGATTATCAAAAGATAATTGGAACACTACGGAGTTGGACTGTTGAGGATATTCATTTGAATGTTCCGACTTTCAAACCACTTCACAGACTCACTTTAAGCTATCCAAAATCAGAAGAGTGATCTTCTTAAAGACACCACGATACGTGTTTTCTTCAAATTACGTTTGCTTGTTAACTCAAAATTCAAGGATCAATGCATGTGCTCGTTTTTCAGTTCCACCCAGTACTGATGAATCA